GAATTCCCCCGCTGGCTGGGGAATTCTGGGAGTTGAAGTACACTCATCTTAAAGTGGACAAGTTTGGACAACACTGGTCTATGTTAATCTTGTCATTCAAAAAGTCTTATACCTGTTAATAAAATTTGTTAGTCAGAAAAGACTAACCGGATTTCTACAGATACAGGTGTGATGAGAGATTCTGAACGTTGGGCAGACAATTTTTTGGTAGTGTCAAGACTGGGTCTTGGGAAGAAATGAACATGGAAAGAAAGAAAGAGTTGAAAGAAATGAAAGTGAAAGTAGAATGTCTTCAGGAAGAGAAAATACATGAAACATATTACACAGTAGATTAATCTCCCAATAGACTGAATAGAAAATGGATGTAAGGTTAGAGGAAGTGGAAACTACGTGGAGTGAAAAGAATTTTGTTACAGAAGTGTGTGGAGTTATGCTAAGAGAAAGCATTGAGAAATGATGAAGTGGAAGAAGCTGTGGATGAAGGAATAAATGCATGGAAGAGAATGTGATTGCCCCAAAAACTAAAGAGGGAAAGATACTGTCTGTTGAATATAGAAAGAAAAGAATAGTTGCAAAGAATAATGCTCAACAGAGCAAAGAATGGAGAAGATGAAAAGAGGCAAAGAAAATGCAGAGTGATTTTACTGAAGTGGGAAAAAATGTTTTGGAACAGGGTAAAGAAGACTAATCCAACAGTCTCCAGCACAGATCATAAAATTAAAAATAAAAGCAATGAAATGATTGGAGCAGAACAGAAATGTTATTAATAAATAAATACACTAAGCGTCTTGTTCTACCCTTAATGTTTTAAGAGTTCTTTTAATAATAATTAACAGCTAGCCCACAACAAAGCAAAGTAGGCAATAAAGTAACAGTACCTCTGTTTCCAAGGATAAAGGATTCTACATTTTAGCATTTTTTTGAAGGATACAGGTGTGATGAGAATTTAGAATTTTAGAAGGGTAGGATTCTACGTTTCTACAACCTTGGAAAATAAAAATGGTGGGTAGATTTAGCCAAGTAATTTGGGGAGAGGGAAGGTTCCCACTTCCCCAGAGGAAAACAAGAGACAAAAATCAGTGATGAAGGGCAAGCGTTTTCAAACTTCTTCAACAGAATCTGTTCATTTTTTTTAGAAAATCCCAGAACCCCTGGTCAAGATGCAAAGCTCTAGTGCAGTGTTTCTCAACCTTGGCAGCTTGAAGATGGGTGGACTTCAACTCCCAGAAT